AAAAAAATGTGTTAGGTGTTTCATGTGTTCATTTTTTTATGATCCAAATAGGATGTTTTGTTCTTTATGAAATTCGCTTTTTGAAAGACTCTGCTGATTCGATTTATCTTTTAAAATAATATCGATCTTAGAGACACTTAGGTGGTGTTCCCCTCAGTTCTCCACCACCTCCACCTTGCCACCTCCTCCTTGCCACCTCCATTCCACCACCTCCTCCTTCTCCTTTCCACTTGCTACCCCGCCTCCCTCCCACTCCGAGGACGGGGTGAAAGAACCAGACGCGGCGTCCTTGGGGCCGTTAAGACGGGCCATCCCCCGTAAAAACAATGATCCCGGTGCACGACCCCGTTATCCGATAGCGGTGCTACGGCCTGCTTCTTCGGCTTCTGGGCAGCCTCTCGCCGTGCCCGCTCCAGGGTATCGTCGAGCGTACGTGAGCGGGTTCCGAAACGCACCGCTTCGACCCCAGCCTAAACATCCTAAATATAATACCTTACATTTAGCATATTACACTATATTATATTATATATTCTCATCGATATATTTCATCCGGATTAGTTACTAGCTCATCATAGTAATAAGGATTCTTCTGCGAATCCTGTTCTATTCTTAGATCCAATCAACTGGATAGGTTCATGTAGTTTCGTGACTAGTTGATCGATGGTTCTGATTGGAGGAGAACGCCACGTACACGAATGCCGGATCGTCACTGGTCAGTCTTATTTCGTATTCAATTAATAAATTCACATTATATTTCCGAATTAAAATAAATATCAAAAACCTAATATCAGCACTTCAAATCTGCAAGTAATCATACCTAAACGTTATAGTAGTGTTGCCCAAAATCTGTCTTGTTCTTTGCAAGACCAAGACCAGGACTGGTAAAAAAAATCGATTTTTTAAATAAAAATTAAGGCAAAATATTTACTGATACTTGACAATTTTAATTACTATATGTAAAGAATTGGTATAGCCAATATACTTTTGTATTTAACTCCTCTAATTTTTCATTCGGGCTTAGTTAGGTTTCTCTTTTCTAATTAATTACAGTAAAATCTCTATAGTAATGAGCTAATAAGTAACGAAAAGAATTTTGCGACACCCTTGTGCAAGACCAAGACTGAGTTTGTAACACAAGACTACGTTAGAGCTCCTTTAACATAATTATAAGTCAATTATAGTTCTTTATATATATAAAAAATCTCTGACTTCATCCTCGGATAATATATTTATAACATTGCATAAAGGGGCCAAATCTTAAATCCTTTTCTAATTGAGTTAGTGTTTTTAGACTGAATATTTATTTAATTAAAAATATAACGAATTTAAGTACTTTTATTTTAGTATATTAATTATACTATGAATTTAATGTTCATAATTGCATATAAATTACAAGTGGTTATTTTCTTAAATTTGACCTATACGTACAGTTGTGAAGTGAAAAAAAATTAAAACAAACGAAGAAAAATTAAGAGTTTAAACTGATAAAATATTTACAAATAAATAATTAAATTTAAAAAAAAAATGAGAAAATCAAATTTGAATTAATAATGGTTGAAAACAATGTCACTTTTTATTTTCACTTATGTGAATATATATAGTATATATGTAATATATAGTAAGGGTAAGTATTGCTGGAAAAAAACTTACGAGGGAAGTTAAAATTAAATTCCGAATAACTTTTATACTTTATGGTTTTTTAAAAGTTTATGGAATTTCCTAAGAAACAAAAAAAAAATCGTTAAAATCGTACAATTACGAGGTAAGATATGACCTCTAGTTTTTTCACTGAAGAGGCGAAAATTTGGATAAATTTAAAATATATTTAATTGTTGAGACTAAAAAAACATTTTCTACAGATATTTAATAAAGTATCTTTCCTAAGAACATCTTTCATAAGATATTTCTATCTAAATTAAAATTAAATTTCTAGTACCAAAATTTATACCTTTATTCTCAGTTCTATATTTCAACACTGCAATCACCACCTCCGGAATCAACTTACTATTTGTCTGCATAGATCTTAGAACTTTTTCAACTAAAAATATCACTAAAATGACATCACTCAAAAATGTTGAGGTTGGAGTTAGTCATTCTGTGGTTTATAAAAGCTAAGAAAGTTGTGCGGTTTATAAAAGCAGATGGAGTGACTAGATTTTTAGGTCTTAATGACTTGTTATTTGTAAGCGTTAAGTTTTAGCTCCGTTTAAAATGCACTTCAAAAAAATTTGTAATAGTCCAGCATTGCCAGAAAATAATTCAAAGTAGATCGGTAAGTGAAAGTTTTGTGTTGTGCGCACCAGATTTTTTTTCCTGTGGTTATTTCCTTATTTATTTTTCATATATTTGGGGCTCTACTAATCCATCAAATTCCTCTCGTATCCAATCCCTACAATCCAAAATCCTTAATGTTCCCTACTTTGTTACAAATAAAATCATTCATTATGACCTTAATGGACCATATGTTTCCGATTTAGCTCAATCCAGATACCTATCCTTCCATAATAAACTTCTGAACCATCCGAATCCTCTCGTTTCCAGCCTTGCTTCTTCTTCTATTCTTGATAACCCTCCGAGGCGTCCGAAAAGAAGATGGCCTCGGGACCTTCTAATAAAGAAATATAATTGGAGTGCTACCAATGGGTAGTTTCTCTTCATGTTGTACAAGTCATATTACCTGTTCATATTTACTTGTTGTATTTATTATTAATTAAAGTTGTAAATTTCGTTAATAAAAAAAAATCATATAATTATTATCAATTTTTAATATCGATAATTTGAAATAAAATTATCAGAAAAATTAGCAATATATATATTAATTATTAATATATGCATTGATATATTTTTCAACATTCTTATAATAAATAACTGTAAAAATGGCGATAAATTCAGGTTTTATCATAGCTATAATTTTCCCTTTCGAAGCTGATCAATATTAGAGACCTGGTGAGATGGATTATAAGAGAGGAAGAAGAACACTCCTAATCGCTCGAGAGGATTGTAGGAGGAGGAATCGGATATCTGGAGGATCGAGACAGCAGCTCGCATACCAAGCGTCGCCTCCAGAGGTCATCGGGTATTCCAGCCGGGAACTTACCCTGAACCAGTTCTTGCAGCAGCCTCTGGAATCATCATCGTCGTCCTCTCGAGGAAAGTACTTCTTCCTGCCCCACTTCCTCCTCTCCATGTTCCGATTCGAACCGGCCTACTTTCCAGTCGGGGTCGAGCTTCGTCGATAAGTCCATAATAATCTTCCAGTCTCTCTTCTCGAAGGATCTTTGCAAAATTCGACTCTTATTCCAGATAGATCGAAAAGAAACAAAAATAATATCTTCTTTGTGGTCAATAGTTTTTCTGATTTGAATTAAAAAAAACAAAATCATATCTGACCGCTTTAAATAAATAATAAGAAACTGATAATGATAATGAATCTGTATTCACAATAGGTGAAGTTCAGCTATTATTTATATATTTTTTTTTTTATCCACAACTGTGAGAAGTAGCAATTAGCAGTCTGCTGTCAGGAAAATACTAATAGTGGCTTAATCGGCGTGAGGGAAAGGAGTGCCCAGCGACATCCCTTCTTCACTTGAATTTATTATATATTTTTTAGATGAGGAAACTCCTCATCCAACTACTTTTGAGCCTCCGAAGAGTGTTTTCGGTCATGTTAATCGTGACTATGTCTTGTATGAGTGTATTAGTATGTCCATGTAAGTTATCGTGAAATTTTCTGTAGTGTATCCAGATATGGTCGTTAACTGCTGGCATGTTTAGATCTTTATGTAATGTAATGTTTATGACGTACCATGGATAGTGTTGCCCAAATGCGAGACCGAGACAAGTCTTGGTCTTGCACAAGAGTCTTGCAGTTACTTATTAGCATATTACTAAGCCTGAATGAAAAATTATAAGAGTTAAATGCAAAAGTATATTGGTTATATCAATTATTAACATATAGTAACTAAGATTGTCAGGTATTAGTAACTATTTTGCCATAATTTTTATTTTTAAATATCGATTTTTTTACCAGTCCTAGTCTTGGTCTTGCATCAGTTAGGCGGTCTTGGTCTTGGTCTTGCAATTTGCACTGAATAATTGAATAATTATAGGTGTTGAGTTTTTGTTTTTGTTGATGTGTGGGCACCATGTCATTCTTCTGTCGAATGTCAGTCCAAGGTATTGCATTTTTTTCTGTTTGGGAAATTTCAGCATTATCAAGATTAATTTAACTTATTACGATAAGAATATTACCATATTTCAAGCTTTAAGTAACATTCCAATAACTATACAATTATACACCTTAAAACATGAAACTCAGAAAAAATTATTCTAATTCTTAAACAAAAATAATTTTTGTAATCTGATTTAAAATATTGTAAATAGAACACGGTGCCTCTAAGCTATGTAGTACTATATGACAATTTAAACTGTAAATAAATTAGTAATCGTAAGTTAGGAATATATCAATAATACACCTGTTTTTGAAATGAATATCTTTTCTTTTTATTATTAGAATATTTTATTATTTCATAAATAAAATATAATAAAAAAAAGTTGAATTTCTAAGTGAAGTAATAATATTGTAAAAAAATATATATATATATATATAATAATTTGTATTGCCAAGGAGTTGACATTGGAGAAATTATCTTCATTTTTAGTTTACTGAGTGATGAACATGAAAATAAAAACGATTAATTTATGTTTATTCAATATTTTTGTAACCGATTCGCATAGTTTTTTATTTATTTATTTCTTAGAATTAATAAATAAAAAAAATGATACATTAACGGTATTAAGTAAGGTATGCTTTCACGGCTTTTACTCAGCTCTATCTGAAGAAGAAACCTTGGAACTAAAAACGACTCAGTTGTTATCTTTTGAAGTCAATACATCACGGACTTTCACGGGCGTGAAGGCGTCATTAAAAACCATCTCCGTTTAGAAAGCTGGGTCACCTATACGATAATAATTATAACAATAATATTAAATAAATAAACTAATATTTAAAATGAATGTAATAGGTTAATGAGACCAGCTCCGGTGAACTGTGAACTTTCGCGGACTGTTGAGGAACCGGTTATAGAGGAGGCATTGCGTTCCTTCGGCAGGACATCTTCCTCTTCGCATTCCTTATCCTGTATCCTTCTCCTTCTTCCTGTCCGCTTATAGTTCAAGTCCTCTTTGCAAATATCCACAACAGGAATATCTCCCTCTATCTAATACGCAACAAGTTTCAATATATTTAAAATATATATATTTTTTTAAAAACTTAACTAATTATTCTAATTAAAAAACGGTGTAATTAAATTATATAAAAATAGAACATACAAATAATAAAGAAATTTATATATAATAGTTATTTGTAAGTTAGCAAAACGTCATAAACAATTTCTTCTTCGTCTATTTTGTTGTGAGAAGGAGTTAGTCGAGGGTGCGGTCAAATAAATACTAATTTAAAATATAGCAATTATTTTATTTTATTTTATTTTAATAAGTCTATTAATTTATTTAGTTTATTAAATTAAATCAATTAATTTATTTTATTTTATTATATAAGTCTATTTTATTGATTAGAAAGTGTTTTAATATTTTTAATTTATTGTTTTTATATGGCCTAATACAGCAGCAACTTATGTTAATTTTTCTTTAAAATTAATTGTATTAATATTTAATTAAAACAAAATTACTAATTAAAGTTTTAAAAAATTTTTTTTTTATTAAAACATTTAATGGCACCTGTTAACATTCTGTCGACAATAAGCAAAAAATGAATCCTTCCTATATGCTCCAAAGTTTTTTTTTTAAATTAACATGAAAAAGACAAGTTGGAATATTGACAGACTGACAAATAATACTTGACTACCAGTTTGGCTTATTTATATTTTAAATTATTTCTAAAACATCCTATTTTATCTTGTTACTTTTGAATATTATTTGTGAATATGCATTTTTTATTTCAAACAAAGATCTGCATACTATTCAAATTAATTACATTCTATTACTTTTCACTCCCATAAAGGATAAAATGAAATAATAAAAGCTATATGGGATTGATTTTTAGAAAGAAATTATAGTAGAGACCCAATTAAACAGGAATTAAAAACTCTTGAATATATATGAGTCTAATACAGAGAAAGTATGTCAGCCATGAACATATATTTTTATAGATCAAAAATAATAATATATATGGACTAATACACTTCTTTTGCAAATGACTCTCTTTCTTTCCATATTAAAATTTTTAATAATGATAAATACACAAAATATATGTTATTACTTTTATTTTTCCCCCTTTTAATGATTAATGTGTCTAAAATTTGATATTGATTCATAGCTTTTTTATTCTTACCTGCATCATGAAATTTTTTTTAAATTGTTGAGTGTTGTTTGGGATTCAACAGTTGACTATAAGGTGTTGACTTTATATAGTTTAATCATTCTATTTATTTCGATAGTGTTTTAAAAAATAAATATTCTTGTTTCAATTTTTATTTCCATATAGATTCTCATGTTTATGAAAAATAAATAAATAAATAGTTTCCATATAAATTTTTGTTTTTTTTCTTTTCTCATAGTGAAAACAGCAGATAATCAGCTATGTGGAATTCAGTATTTATAGAAGAAGAAAACAACAGAAAGACAGAAGCGAAATGAAAATAAAATCCTAAGAATCGAAAAAAAAAAGAGGAAAAAATAAAATCTTGGAACAAACACCGTAAATAAGAAAGTGTGTTCGATGTGAGAGCAATATGGCGCTAACGAAATGATATTTGTTTCCTTAGGTGTTGAAAATAAGAGGAAATATTTACCAGACCAGGTCGTATTTTGGGGCCAGATAATTCCTCTAACATAAACATTGTATTTTTGAACTGCTTCGAAGGACCCACGCACAGACGATACTATTTATATGTTTATATCGATTGTATTTTACAAGAGTATTTTTAGTCGAAGGAGTTTGTCCCAGCTGGGAATATTAGGACATCTTTTTTTTTTTTTTAAACTTGCAAATCCAAAAATAAATTTATAAATGCTAATACACCAATGTGCGAATTTACCAGATGTATTTTTTGTATACAGTTGTAAATATCATTTAAAATAAATAATAATAATAATAAATGCTAATATAGGGAGTGATTCTTAAATGGGATAATTAAATATATATAATCTAGTTATACAATGATTAAATATTAACATAGTCTAAATCAGTATAGTGCGTTAGACGTTAGACACTTTAGAAATAATTTTTATAATTTAAAAAGTAAAATTGACAATCGAATTTCATTAAAAATTATAACAATATTCACCTGGAATATTTGATAATGACAGAAGAAAAAATAAATGAGAGAAGTATGAAAAGTTTCTAATAATAAAATTATTATAAAATCGCTAACCTTCTAGATAAAAGAAAACCTAACAAATAAAAGACACATGAACGTTATTTGTTATTACTACAAGGTTTTTTAAATCGCCGAAACGTTCATAAAAAATCATAGAAACTTTTTTTTATTTGAAATAATTATCCCTAATTATAATAAGTAATCAAATAATTACATTTTTACAATTACTATATTTGAGTTTAAATTTTATAGTGTTATGTAGTAATATAAGTGAGCCTTTCAGATGACAGAATGACTAACTCCTATTTCACCATTTTTAAGTAAAGTCATTTTAATAATAATAATGCTTTATTTATTCTGGGACAAGTCCCTTTAGAATAATGTACAGATAGAAATGTGGGCTTTAGAGCCTAAGAGAACAATTACAAAATAAACGGATTTTTATAATGAATAAATAAAAGAAAATAATATTATTTACCTTCAATCTTCAATTTAGAGATAAAAAAAATTAAATACAAATATTTAAAACAAACTAATTATTTTTATACATATTTACAACATCTATTTACAATTTTTGAGAACTGAACGGATAAGAGGTGATTGAACAGGTGGGATTTAAAGGTGGAAAGGGTATTGGAGCGACGGTGATATTTCTAGTTGAAAAATTTATACTATCTGTGCAAACAGTGAGTAAATTGATTGCAGTGTTGAAATATAGAACTGAATTCATGTATACATTTCTCCACTAGGAATATCACTAAAATTATTAATTAAAAATCTTCATCCGACTGCTCCAACACTTACTAGACAAACGCTCCAAACTTTCTATTAATTACAAAAGACTTATCTACATAACTATAATAAGACCTATATGGACATACGGAGTTGACCTTTGGGGCTCCACCAAACCATCGAATTCCTATCGTATCCAATCCTTACAATCCAAAATCCTCCGTAAAATCCTTAATTCTCCATACTTTGTCACAAATAAAACCATTCATAAAGACCTTAATGTACCATATGTCGCTGATTTAGCTCGAGCCAGATACCTATCCTTTCATGATAAACTTCAGTCCCATCCAAATCCGCTTGTTTCCACTCTTGCTTCTTTCTCGATTCCTGATAATCCTCCTAGGCGTCTGAAAAGGAGATGGCCTCGTGATCTTCTTGCTTAAAATTATTTAGAGAGTGCTACCACTGGGTAGTAACTCTTCAAGCCTGTACATGCCATTATTTATATTTGCGCATATTTACTTGTTGTATTTGTATACACTTGTAAATTCCATTAAATAAACAAAAAAAAAAAAAAATAATAATCTTGAAATTCAAATTATTAATTCTTCCAACTAAAAGGTTCAAGTATAACAACTAATTTTGTTACAGTTAATAAATAATTAAACTAAATTTTAATAAGTGTTTCAGCTGCTTGGAATCGGTATTTGGTAAATGAGAGGTTGTTAATTAAGTTGAAATTTTTATTTTGTTAGTTTTTAAATTAATTCCGATTTTCATTTAATTTCTTACCTAATTAATTTTTAAAAAATCTTAATTTATAATGCTCTCTCATCTTCTCTGAAACTTCCAGGATTAGACGTTATCGTCATATAGCAGTTTTTCTTTCGATGAAATAGTATGAGAGATAATATTTAATTAAACATAGGAAGTATTAAAGAATTGAAATTGAACTTAAAAGATTATTAACTTATTGGAATGAAGTCAATAAATAATGCTTTAAATACATATAATATATATATATATATTTAGTTTGTCATTTGCTGACGTTTCGACCTGAAGTTCAGGCCATCGTCAGGGCTAAGAAAAGAATTAATTTTTATGTTTCTCATACCTTGTCATCTGGTTCTTTTCTTAGCCCTGATGATGGCCTGAACTTCAGGTCGAAACGTCGGCAAATGACAAAATAAATATTATCATTTAATTTGCCTTCTTATTTAACTGATCACCCCAACTATTCTTCTCTTCATTATTCACGACAGTCAACTATTTAACCACTATTATATATATTATAGTTTATTATGGAGTGTTGATGTGGGATATGGGCTATATTTGTTTTGTATATTTATAATCATATCTCTGTGTTAATAATTTTTGAATTTCGCGTTGTTTTTTTTTCTATTGCCAAATATATTTTTCTGAATTATAAATATTCATTTTTTTTTTAATTATATGCTTCAATTAAAATTAATAATTTTATGTCCTAATCAATCTTAAGTAATGTAAAATAATATTTTGAAATATAAATAAACTAATTATATGAGGATATTGAGCGCCATATTGGAAGGACGAAGGAGCAGGAGGACGAAGTGATAAATAGAGACTAAAGACTAAAGGATAAAGGAGCAGGAGACCCCTAAGGACACTGACAGACAGAGGGGGGCGGGGGTGGGGGGGCCAAGCCAATGACCGGTGTACTCTTGCCCACCTCGCGGCTACCTTCCTCCCTCAGGTCTCCTCGTCTTAATATATCACTCAGTATACCTTATTGTATCTATACTTCTTGTATATACTTCTTTATTGTATATATATATATATATATATATATATATATATATATATATATATATATATTATATATATATATATATATATATATATATATATATATATATATCCTTTTGAAAAATTTATTCATTTTTGTATTAAGCTACTTTCAATGCCTAAAAATCGACTGACACACAAATGCCTTGTCAGACTCATTAATTTAGACATTATATTGAAGACGACCTTTTCTAAGAGCTAAAACCAAGTTACTTACTAATAAAGATTATCGAAAAAGTAAACAATCAGCTCTACTCTATAGACATTAAATTGTTATATTTTTTCGTCGTCGACAAAAAACTTACTAACGGATTTACTCCCTTTTTTTCTCTAAAATTCTTCCTTATAAATGGATATCCTTATGAAGGGATGCATATAAAAAGTTTTTTTTTTTTTTTTATTTATTTTAAATGATATTTACAACTGTATACAAAAAAATACATCTAGTAAATTTGCACATTGGTATAAAGACATGGAACACATTTTGAGAAACTACCCATTGGTAGCACTCTAATAATATGTCTATATTAGAAGATCACGTGGCCATCTTCTTTTCAGACGCCTCGGAGGGTTATCAGGAATCGAATAGGAAGCAAGGTTAGAGACAAGAGGGTTGGGATGGTTATGAAGTTTATTATGGAAGGACATATATCTGGATTGGGCCAAATCTGATACATAAGGAACATTAAGGTCATTATGGATAATTTTATTTGTAACAAAGTAAGGAGCATTGAGGATTTTACGAAGGATTTTGGATTGCAAGGACTGTACGCGAGAGGAATTTGAAGGCTTGGTGGAGCCCCATAGCTCAACCCCGTAAGTCCAAATAGGCCTTATTATAGTCATGTAAATCAGTCTTTTATAATTGATTGGAAGGTTAGAGCGTTTGTCTAGTAAGTGTTGAAGTAGTCGGAAACGTCGAGCGGTTTCTTGTCGTTTCAGTCTGGTATGAGGATTCCAAGTTAGACGTTTGTCCAGATGGAGTCCTAGGTAACGGATTTGTTCAACAGGAATAAGTGAGGTGTTGTTAAAGGATACTGAAGGACAGGAAGTCATTGGTTTACGACGAAGGGTGAAGGTAATTTGATGGGATTTATTGGAATTTATTTTAATTCTCCATTT